TGGCCTTGGTGTGGGGAGTGGCACCATCCTTTTCCTCTGCATCTTCTTGAGCCAGGCTCTGTCATTAGCTACCATTGCTATTACTGCTGCCTCTTTTGGCCCAGGGCCAGGAAATGCTTCTCTCTCTTCTGTGCACAACAGCTGGCTGCTGTACCAACTGTACCAGGGACTTCTTGGGGTGGCAGCAATTGGTAGAAAGTGCTGCATGTGTCGTCCTTATTGTTCTGTGGCTTCAGAAGTCAGCACCACTATGTATAATGGTAGGCCCAACCCAGTTCTGAGACCAAAAGTTACCAGAAGCTTCCCAGAGGCACAATCTCATCTAAAATCATGGACAGCACATCTGATGGCAGAAGTTTCACACTTTAGACACAAGCCCCATTCAGTCATTAATTTATCTAGTGGTGTTCTGGGATTTTCTCTTGCTTGGTATCACTTGTGAATAGTCGTGAGCACAAGAAGGTATCCTGTAAACCATTTTGACTGCTGACACGGGTATCATCAACATTCAGACTGCCCTTCGCTATCTAAAGCTTGGCATCCTTTTTCCTGTTGGCAACACAGGCACATTATTCTGCAGCGATATCAGGCAATTTCCTGGGATTTTGAATCATGGATGGAGAAACACAATATCTCACATTCATAAACTAGAGTTAAACTAGTTTTTTTAAAATGTATTATATTGTAAATGCCTTGAGAATATTAGAAACGTAAGATGCGTAAGACAGAATAAACAGATAATGAGTAGCATTCAGACACTTCCTTTGGCCTTGCAAGAAATCACGTTTGAGTAGCATGTAAACCTGGGAAAAGGTCCTTCCTGTGTAGGACATTTGGGGTGCCTTTTGTTTATCTTATCGATCACCCTGCTTTGAACCTGATATTTTTGTATCTGTGTATTGGGTTTTGGCCAATTCAGCGAAGCAACCCCAGAGGCTAAGATGCAGTGAATAGTAATAACACTCAAGCAATAGTTAACTTGTTTAAAATATTTCTGAACAGCATATTTATGTCTGGTCATTTGGGATAATAAGCAGGCACTTTTGCAACTGCAGATTTCCACCCTGTTTTCCATTTTTGACAGCTGGGAGTAGAGATCCTGACTGAAGCAGACAAATATTTTGGGGTTATCAGTTCTGTTGATGGTATTCAGTATGCTCTGATTTTAAGCATTCTCAGGATGAACTAAACAAGACTCTTGAGCTCATAATTAGAAGCTGGTAGCCCAGTTTCTTCTCTAGCATTACAATTTATTCCCGAGAGAACAGATTTTGAATGGAAGCCCATTTTATCACCAGATGATGATCATTGATCAGCCACAAAGCAAAGGCAAATGAATTTGCAAAACACAAAGGTGAAAAAAGGTTGTGCTAAGGCATTCAGACAGATTTTATTACTTCTTGGGAGCGCCACCTTAAAATGCAGAGCTCACTGTCTTGTATAGGTTATACAGTATATCACAGAAGCTAGTACACCCCCTCACATTTCATAAATACTTTGGTATATCTTTTCATGTGACAACACTGAAGAAATGACACTTGGCTACAATGTAAAGCAGTGAGTATACAGCTTGTATAACAGTGTAAATGTGCTGTCCCCTCAAAATAACGCAACACACAGCCATTAATGTCTAAACTACTGGCAACAAAATTTGGACATTGTCACACTTTTGTTCCCATCGGTTTAGACATTAACGCTGTGTGTTGCATTATTTTGAGGGGACAGCAGATTTACACTGTTATATAAGCTGTATACTCACTGCTTTACATTGTAGCCAAGTGTCATTTCTTCAGTGTTGTCACATGAAAAGATATACTAAAATATTTATGAAATGTGAGGGGGTGTACTCAGTTCTGTGATATACTGTATAGGTTGACCCAAAGTGCGTGAAGCATGGTGAAAACATGGAGGAAAGTAAAGAGAATGCTACCACCTTCACAGCCATAAGGTAGTAAAATCTTTTTGGAACAGATAAAGATTGAAATGTCTACAGTGTAGATGGTGGGAGAGAGAAATTACTATTGTGACAATTTAACACAGAAAAGAGCTCTTCCTAACAGGCTTGAAAGGGACGAGAAAGCGCTTAAAAGCTAGAAGGGTCAAACAGAACAGTGCTTTCCTGGAAACAATCCACTCCTTCCACAGAAGGTCCTTCTCTGTCATACTTTGGCATCCCTTCAGCAAGGAGTTTTAAGAGACAAGGGTTGAGAGCCATTTCCATCAGCTTCACTTGAAGTAGCTGTTGCCATTTGCCCAAATAGTAGCGACCCAGACCCTGAATGTGTAAATCCTCCACTTGAAGCATCAAAACTACAGCTTTAGCTTCATAGTCTATTTTATCAAACCTAACGTAATGATGCAATGCATAGTTTTCTGATCCTCAGTGAAAAGAAGTATGTTAAAGAAACATCAAGAAACATCCACTTGTAAAAAACTATCATCTGTTGTGAAATCATTGAGTTCTGCATAAGAATTAAAAGACCAAGTTTTTTTCCTTTTGTCTGCAGCAGTGTTAGCCCTCAAAAGTCTTTTTACATAGTGTTAAAAACTTTCATTTTGCACAAAATATGGATGCATGGTTTGTGACTCTAGCAGGGGGCATTCCATTTTGAAATAGTGGAGTGAGTACACTTTGTTCGGAGCCCAGGAAGGCAGCTTAGGTATCACCAAAAAAGACGATAGAAATCACCAAAAAGAAAAGACAATGGAAGAAGGCACTGACGTGCATAAAAATGCACATGCTAATTTATATGCCCAGATGCAAAATCAGAAATGATTTTTAAAACTTAAAGAGAACTTCAGAGCATCTCGCTTGAATGGAGAGGACACTGAACAAGTGACCAGCCCACCTTCTGAGGCTGCCACCCAGCAGTTGCTAACTGTGGGTGGGCAATGTCAAGGTCCTTGGGTCTCCTTTCTTCTGGTTATTTAACTTTAAATCAGGTTTGGTGTAGGCAACCTTTCACATGGGGGGCATCTTAAAAATGAGTCCTTCAGATGGAGGATTGGACTCTCGAAAGGAGGACACATGGCCATTCCATCTGAGCCACCTATGTTGACTGTAGAGCCTTTAAAACATTGTCACTGACCTTCCAGAGAGAACTTTGGCTCCTTCTGCCTTTTTGGTCTTGTGATGGCCAAGGGGCTGCTAGCGTGATGAGACACAGCAGCAGGAGATAATGCACTGCCCTTGATCATGCTGAAATCCTGCCCCATGGCTAAGTAATGAGGCGTGCTTCTGCAATCACTTGAAATGGCAAACTCTACAAAATCACTTTGGATAATTCCTTCCCTCCTTTCCTTTTGCCCTCTTTTAAATCTCATACATTTTTAGCAAAGAAGCCAGCTCCTGCATCTGCATTTAACATCCCGCTTGATTAGATCTTGTCAGGCTTGTCTTAAAATGCTATCTCAGCCTGGCGGTTCTTGCTGCAGCCTGTAATTAAAGGAATGGCTTGCTCAGATACCTCACCTGATACTTTATTCCCCTTCAACAGTTGCCTAGGAAGGGCTGGTGCATTGCGATGGGATGGAAGTTGAGCAAGCCTACTTCGGTGCTCCCCAGAGCCTGAAAGGGAGAATGTAAAAAGAACTTGACAAAGAGAAAGAGAAGTAAATCAGCTCTGCTAAAACTGGTGACCACCAAAATAGAATGCATTACTGGAAAGGGGTGTAGACAAGGAGCTTTTCATATTGCCTTGGTTCCAGCTACATGGAGGTCCTGCAGTCTTCTGCTAAGCATTGGAATGTGCTCCTCACTCTGACTTGAGCTACTGGGGTTGGCAGAACACTTGTTCACCTTCCACAGTAGCAGTGGTCTAGGCTGGATGTACTTTCTCAGGTATCATAGAAGCAGCCAGGAAGCTTTGCCCTCATCTTCTTGAGACAAGGTGTCCATTGCAAGCACCCTGGCAAAGCAAAGGCCCACTTGCCCTGGAGTAGGTTTGACTGATAGCCCTGCTGTGTAGCTGTCACAGCAGTTTGAAGGAAATATGTGTGTTAAATCAATAGGTATCTGTTTTGCAGCCCGCTGTGGAAACAACATGAGCTTCTAGTGCAGTTTGCCTTCTATAGAGGACACCCAATTCTAAGGGTGATAGGTACAAAAAGCTATACAGGGGTGGAAGCTGGGCCTTGTTGAGTAGTGTAGTCCGTGTCTTTTCACACACTCTGCCCCCCCACATGTTTGCTTGCTCCGCATTCCGTATGTGAACATAAGGCATGTGCACATGTTCATGAATTGCTTTCGCCCTTGTGCAAATACTGTCTGAAAGGAATGCTGCTGCTAATGAATTTGTGTCTGTTGTGAAGTATTTTCCATAGTGATTGCCAAAGGAGGGCAAAAAAAAAAAAAACTTAACTTGACCAGTCCGTACATTATTTTCTTGCACAGAATAACCAAATATTTATCTCAGATAATGGTAATTGTCATTAATGGGTTGGAGGGAGGTGTTTAGAAGGCTGATGTCCACATGCCCACTGACACTGGAATTGCCCCTAAACTGCAGCTACCTTAAATTGACCTATAGAAGCCAGTAGGAACTATTGTACTTCATGAGAGAAGGAAAATTGAAGGCTTTACTGGGTTGAGAGCAGACCTCGAACTCTACTACTGATTCCACCCTTAGGAATAGAGGGAAGATTTTGCCCTTACTTCAACATTGTCCTTTATAGCTGTCTGTCTGCTTTGATCTAGCTTTGCTTAGGTTATTATGAAGAGAGTATGGTTCCCGGAAGCAATCAAAGTGCAAGGTATTCCACTGATCTGAGCATTTAATTAAGTAGGATCAGATTTCCATATAGAAGACAGTCATGGGAAGCCATAAACCTTTTAATTAACCTTTCTCTATAGCAGAGTGTTGCTACCTACTAAACTGCAGGAGTGATGTAGCTGTTTTCACATGTGATAGAGCAGGGCAGAAATCAGTCATCTTACATTAGTGCAATCAGACATCACCTCACTGTATGGACTCACCCAGGCTCTTTTCTTATACTTTCAGAGACTGGCTGATGCAGCAGAGAGGTTTCAGAAGTCCCATCGCTGGCAAGACAACATTAAGGTAAGTCTTTAAATTTCCTTTCTGTGGCATGCAACCATGTCATCATTGAATATGAACACCCTATCTCTAACTCCTTTTCACAAATGCCCTCTGCAAAACACCCATTGGAATTGGAGCTCAAGGTGTGAGTGTATCATGTGTTATGAAACCAGTGAGAGCTGGTTAAAATATGTCTTTCTAGCAGGAGATTTATGAATAGTCCTGACATTCTAGCAGCAGCTTTTGAGTTTACAGGTCTTTGTCTCTCAGCGAAGGTCACATTTACCGTAGTTCTCATTTTGTGTTGACATGTGACTTCAGTGACAAGTATAACTCTGCCATTTTCGCTTGTGTCCTTCAAAGGCATGGCAAATGAGCAATAAGTTGCCCAAGGTAAATTAGAAAAATATTTTTAAATTTTTTTTTTTAAACGCTTGGATGCCTCTGTGTCCTTAAAATCAGTGTCCCCTGTCTCTCTCTGTTCTTCAGTTTCATACTCCTTCATACAACTCTTCTGTTTTCTTTCTCTTCTCTTTCTGTGCTCCTAAGCTCCTTACATACTAGCTCCTGTATTTTTGAAACCAACCCTGTCTTCTCCATTTCATATATAAATTCCCTGCTTCTTATCTTTTAGTCCCTCAGCACCTGCCAGCCATAATGAAAGTGAATGAAGTCATTTTGAGCTCATCTTTTTCATATTTCCTCTGCCTACATGTGCCAGCAATAAGATCGGCCAGAGACAGAAGGTGAAGGTCAAGCTGAAAACTTTGGTTTCACATTACTGCAGACAATGTCCCAAAAGGCTTAAATGGTTCCATCTTATGAGCCCAAGAGGCTTTATTTATTTAATTCTTTATTTCATTGATTTATATAAGAATATGAATACCCCTGCACAGCTGGACTTAAAGGGTCGGACGTTCACTCATGCATCCGGTGGTGGCCCCCTCTTCCTTCCAATCACTCCCGGAGCGCCACTTGGCTAGTGACTCAGCAGCCTTGCAGAGAGACTCATTCTCCCTTCCATTGCCAGGAGTGGCTAGCTGAGCGGGGCTCTGGGAGTGATTGGAAAGAAGAGAGGGGCCCTCAAGCCCAGCTGTGCGGGGGTATTCATATTCATTTACAAATACCCCCATCTCTACTTTATATACCACCACATTAATGCAATGTACTGTTCGGGGCAGTTAACAATAAAATCAGACAGACAGTAGCAAATGAAATCAGTGGTGAAAACCATAAAATAAGGGACAAATCAAATGGAGTATCAAGCACATAACAGCACAACATTTTCACAATAAAATGGCAGGGACAAGGCAATGGAAAATTCAAACAAGGATGCTTTCAAAGGCCTCTCTGAAGAGGGCAGCATCTTCAGCGACCTCTTGAAGGCAGGTGTAGTGAGAGGTGGCTCTACATCTGGGGCATGCTTAAATGATTTGGGGATGGAGGTGAGGCTGTTTTTGTGTGTGTGCAAGAGGACAATACAAACCAGGTTTTCTTCTTTTACCGTGCATCCACATGCATACTGTATATCATTTGACACTGCTCATTCTAGTTATTATTGCCTATTTTGGTTGATTCAGGAGGACAGGAAAGAGCAGTCTAAGAGGGTTCTGAGCAAATCTTGCTTTTTAATGATTGCATTTGCCTTTGTAATTATGTCGGCACTGAAACTCAGCAAAAATTGTGGTATTATGCTTGGAAATACATTCAGATTATAGTGGCAAGACAAATGGTGGAAAGGATTCATTTCCTTTTCTAAACAGCACTAGTACAAATAAATATCCCAAAGAAACTCAAATCAAACATGTCATCATCCTAACAAACTTGGAGGAGAGAGGGAAAAAATTCCCTGTTGCTACTTGCTTTCCTTAGTACTCTATCTATTTGTCCGTAGGTATTCTTCAAATATATTTATTATTTACCCAACAGACAAAGTGCTCTGGGTGTTTACAATGTAAAGGTTAAATCAGACATGCAATGTTTGTACACGACTGCGAGGAACCATGCAATTCACAGCCCCTATTTCATGTTTTAGTAAGTCTTGGGTTGGACAGTTTATTACATACTGAATGATAGTTCCTTATCTTACAAGTATATTTCTTTTTAATTTCCTGAATTTAAAGTCCAGCTTTCTTCCAGTAGGTAGTATATAAGATGCTAAAGGTAGTATATAAGATCCCACTTCATTTTTGTTTTCATGGCTATCTCAGTCCTCACATTTCTGTGTCAGTCCATTGGGCATAGAGTTAGGGACTGGTTCCAGGTAACCTAGTGACCTTCGTTGATGAGTCTCCTCATCTGTCAGTAAGTACACTGGTAACCAAAGAATCAGCAGTGCTGAATTAAATCACTGTGAGTAAAGCATTATTACACAGACAGGTACAGGAGGACCTTTAGTATTTGTGAGATTGTGTACATGGTGGGTATGAAGCTGGGGTATTGGAATAGAAGAGTATGCATCCATGTTCCTTTTTCCATGTTGGAGAGCAAGGTGGAGCATTGCTATCTTGGGATGCGGGATCTCAGAATTTTGCAGCAGGGCTTATTGAGAGCAAGGCTCCTGCCTGGAATGTTGTGTGTTGTGGAGAACGTTGTTGCAGGGAGTCAAACATCTTTGCCATGGTACTGACCATGGAACAGAGCAAAGGCAAGAAGCTGGACTTCATAAAGCTCAGATTCCCTTCCAAGCCTCTTGGAGGGATCTTCTCTCTGAATCAAAGTCCTGACTTGGCTGGCAGTAAATGGATTGATTGCTAAAAGTATAGTAATGTTAACATTTTATTTTGTGGTCTCTGAAAGATTCCCTTTGGATAAACTTATTTATACAAGAGAAAGTGACTGGAAAGAAAAACACCAGAAGGTCACCATATATATATTAGTTATATATTATTAGTTATCATTTCTTATATATATATATATATATAAGAAATGATAACTAATAATCTCAAAGGGCTGGAAGAAAAAATCCCCCATTGCTGCTCTACCCCAGCCCAAGACACCTCCTGCAGCCTGCCTTTCTGCTTTCTCCAGTGAGACACATTCTTTTTTATAAAGGTAATTTGACATTCCTTTTACTTCTTTCAAGGATCAAAGGGCAAGCACTCTGAGCACTGCTAAAGTCTGTTGTTATAACTTTACACCTGAGTGAGTTCGAGACCTTAGACTCAACCAGAGTATCATTTGTGAAAAGACAAAAGGGTGGAACACATGCTGAATGGCAATGTAGAACCTATCGAGGCCTCTCATGGCACAATGGAAATTTCTATTAAGAGAGCGGGGGGGGGCGAAGCAAGGCAGGGACAAATTCTATGGCAGACAGTTAAAAAAAAACAGAGGCAAGGAAATAGTAAGACAGGAACAGAACCTGGAGCAGCCTTAAGGGACATATGGCCATGTTCTTAGAGACTGACGTAATTATAAGCCCTGCTAAATATCTAGCGGATGCTAAGATTAGAAGGAGTAGGTATCTTGAGAAAAAGATCGTGGTTGATCTTCTCCATTGTACAGGATCCAAAAGTCTTCTTGCTATTGGAGAGCTACCAAATTTTTCCCAGAGTCAAAATATTCTTCCTCCCACTAGTGCTTCTGTTATTATCATGAGCACTCTGTGGAGTGGGACTCACCATACCCTGCATGCCTTATCACTAACACTACTGGGCAGAGTGCCTCTGATCCTGAAACTGCTGTCCTTCTCCCTGTGAATTTATCTGGTCTCCTTTTAAAGCTGTGGAGGTAGGGGGTCTATCATTACATTTTGCTTTAGTGAACCCCTGGTTGATTGTATAGTGTGTGAATCAGTGCTCCTCTTGATCTCTGCCAAGTCTCCCCTCTTTGAGCTCAATGGATGACCCTGGGTTACCATATTATGAGAGAGGAAGAAAAGTTTCTCCCTATCTATTTTCTGTGCACTAGGCACATTTTTATACATTTCTATCATATCTTCTCTTTCTTACCTTTTCTATTTATGAGACCAGCAATGTGTTACAAACTTTTCACATGACTGTTTTGGACATTGGTATCTCTTTTTTAACTTTTATATATATGATAGCATCACTTAGGATTCAGCCTCTGGTCACTTCCTTACTGATCAGTTCCATGATCTGCTGTGCAGGACATCTAGTACTTTGATTTCTTTGCCATGACTGGAAAACACATGTATCCAGGCAAAGTGAGGGAAGTTGAGGTGTCCCGTTTCTACAGCATCGTTTTCTTTCAGACCCTCTCCCTCTGCTTTCATTCTCCATCCCAAAGCAACCTAAGCATTTATGTTGAGAAATGAGAGCTACCTGATAATGATAAATTGCTATTGGAATTATATCGTTGGACTTGAGTCATGCACACCACAAAATTAAAAAAGGACCTCTTTAATTAATGGCAGTCAACTGCCAGTGGTGTCATCACTCCCATGGAATAGGTGGAGCTATGCAATGGGATACTAGCCATTGAAATGTAGGGCTGGGAGGTATCTCAAAGGCCATCAAGTCCAACTCCCTGCTGAAACAGGAAACTCCCAGCTGAAGTATCTGTAATGGGTGGCCATCTGGTTTCCTTTGAAAAATCTCCAGAAATTTCTGGGGAAGAAGATTCCACCACTTTCCTACAGAGTATGTATCCAAAGATGAACCTATCCCATTCTCTCTATACCACCACATTTCTATCATGCCCATTAAATCAGTGCTGTCTTTTAAAACACAGGCATTCAGGTGCCCTGATTTTGCTAGGAGAGTTTCTAGTATTAGCATACAAACACCTATATATGGTATTTTTCTCCAAGTATCTCTGCCATGTGTTTCTTCCCCTATAGTCCTTTGGCTGCATCTTATATTTTATATTATGGCCAGGGTGTACTTCTACCCCACCCTCCCACCACAGAATCCCAAATAATGGTCTCATTCTGCTTCAATCCTACCTCTTGTTTCAGGCAGGCCCGGCCTGTTCCAAAATATTTCCCAGCACCTAAAAAATCTACAACCCTGCTCTTTACACCAGTATCTAATCTGTGCATTGGGCTTGAGTTATGC